GAGTTAATTCCGTCTCATAGAGATCCCATAGGACAGCGTAGGACTACCCCTATAGCCACTGGTAGTGCCACTGGTTGAGTGTTAGACTGTTAACCTCGAGGTTAGTGGTTCAAACCGAGCCATCTCACCTCGAAAGAAAGATGAGGCTGTCATCTTGTTAGGCTCCTGTAAAGTTTGACAGCCTTAGAAACCCGTTGTTGTTGTTGTTGTTGTTGTTGTTGTTAGGTGCCGTTGAGTGGATTCCGACCCACAGTGATCCTCCATACAATAGAATGAAACCATGCCTGGCCCTGTACTGTCATCACAGTGATTCTGTGGGGTCACTGTGCGTCACAATCAACTTGATAACTCCTTCTTCAGGTACAAGGGTTAAGATCTGGGTGGGAGATGGAGAGGGTGACCCTAGTTCACCCTTAGCAGTTCGTCCAGCCAGAGGCTTTATGAATTCACAAGCTTTAAGACTTCACATAAGCATTTCTTCGGAACTTTTTGCCTGCTGTGTTAAAAGTGCTTTGAACTGATTTCTGCCGGGGACAAGAGTTAGATCGCGCAGGCCCCCAGCTCTGCTGCAGAATCTGCACCACCAACACTAGCCTGAGCAGGGAGGGCCCTCCTGTCTCCCTGCTGTGATGGCTCCTGATGGCCATGTGGGCCACAGAGTCCGAGCAGTGGTCGGGGCTGCCGCAGCGTGAACAGGACAAAGCAGAACGCAGTGCCGTGTGTGGAGTGCTCGTGCGGCCCAGGCACAAAAGCCTGTACTTGGATGAGGTGTACTTCCCCACTGAGTGGCCTTGGCTGATGACTCCACCTTGCAGTATCTGTTCCCTCGCGCCTGGCGTGGAGATGACAGACATGGTACAGGGAGGTCGTGAGGGAGCCGTGAAACCGTGTCTGTGAGAGTCTTCTGAAAACACTCCCACAGATGGCCTGTGTGCCCTCTTGCCATAGGCTCAGCGATAGTCAGCAGGTCTGTGCAGAGCTGCCCCCCACCGAGGAGGGGTGCTGGCCCAGGCCCCGCCGATGGAGAATTTGATAGCCCAGCTTTGTGAGGGCAGACTGTCAGGACCACGGCGGGACGAATCTGTCACCTGAGATGGGGGTGCCTGTCTCCTGGTACAAATGTGACACCTGTTGCAGGAGAAACAGGCTCTGGCAGCTGGCACTCAGGGAGGTGAGGTACAGCCCTGAGCAGGAGAGCTTGCTGCACTGACCAGAAGGCCAGGAACAAGTGTCAGTAGCGAAATCAGCCCGTCAGCAGTTGCCAGTTCCCCCGGGGGCTAGCAGTGCCTGGCAGGACTGATGCAGAGAGAAAGGCAGAGGAAAGGAGTTGCTCAGATGCCCACCCCCCTGTCGGATAAATAATGTGTACTCGAGGAATACATTGATGGCGTGATGGGAAGTGGGTGATCAAAATGCGGTACCTGTGAAGCGAGCAGGCGGTGTCGTGTCTGCACTTAGGGCTGTGCTGCCACCAAGCCATTGCTGGCCTCGGGCCAGTCACTGCCCTCGAGTGGATCCTGACTCAGCCACCCCCTAGGGCCGCGCTGCTCAACCTGTGGGTTGTGACCCCTTTGGGGGTCGAACGACCCTTTCACAGGGGTCGCCC